ATTTCCCATCTTAGTCCCATATAAACATATGTTCTATGCCAATGGTCCTCACTTTTCGTTTTTTTTTTTTTTTCGAAGCCAGGAGTGCGATACAGACTCCGACGGCCTTATTAGCCGAGAGGATCAGCATCATGGGGGAGAAATGATCTTGACCTTTTGATGAAAAACATCATGGGATTATGTGTTTTGATTGATTTTGGATGGCCTCAAAATTCAATTAGTTTGGCTCCCTGAAAAAAAAGGTCGACCCCGGAAGAAAACTCCGGAAAGTTCCTTATTCTGGAAAATGGACAGTGAGTTGTGGTGTATGTTTGTTTTACCAACATAATCACCATGGCAATCTACCAATGACAGATGATGCTATAAATTCACCAGCATAACTGGTAGGTCACTCAGCATTGAAGATTCTTTCGCCGTCTTGGATGGTTCCATTTGCACAAAACCATCGTGGAAAAATATCTGTTCCCATCTCTGGTCGCAACGATCTCTGTTTCATTCCATGGATTCCATGGCCCAACGCCCATCCTGGGCTATGTTCCGCCAGATGTTTCGGAACATTTATAAAGCCCAAACCCCTAAAAATCCATCGGTGAATTGATGTTCATTGCCACTTTCCATCACTTTCCCTATCATTTTTCGGCAATTTTGGGATTCAGAGCCATTTTGGACGTTGAGAAACTCAACAGGAGCTGCCCAAGTTCTTTGAGAAGATGAATGCCTTAGAGGAGCACGTCCCTGATGTTGGGGAAGACTATGCCGGGGGAGTCCCTGATGTTAGCGGACAAGGTTTAAATGGGGGAATGCCCAAACACACCATTTCATATCATTTCATATCATTTCATGCCATTTCATATCGTTTCATAGATTCATATCATTTCCTATAGTTTCATATCAGTTCCGTGTCATTTCAAATATCATTTCATATCACATTTTTTTTGCATAGTATAGGAATCTATAGGATATGTGCAGTTAAATCTCTCTAGGAGAAAATCAAGCGAAACTTTTTCTTGACCACCCCCAGGGTCTGCATTTTGGGCGAGGACGCCGTGAGCGAGGAAGAGGGCAGCGATGAAATCTGATCGCCCCGTGACCGGCAGGGTTCATCAGTTTTGAGACTCCGAAAGAAACATCATGAATGGTATGTTTCAGAGTTGAGGATTTCCGGAACCGCCACATGACTATCATGACTCACAAAATCATCGATGACAATTATGACTAACAAAATCATCGATGCAAGTAATAGGATGCGGACTTGCTGCAAAAGCTTCACAAGCGATAGAGGACCGCCCACTTTAGCATGTCGTTTTCGAGTCAAAGGAAATTTTGTCCGCCACTCAAATCATTTTTTGCCTAAGATGTGTGAACACCCAAGTGAGTTGGGTTGTTGAGCTGTTTCAAATGTTGTGCTTGTAAGAGTTTGGTAGAGGCGTTCCCCCATGTCCAAATGCATCTAACAGTTTTACATCGAACACAAAGGGCATGTGGAAATCCCCGCACCGTTCCTCAGCTGCAGCTTAATTCGATGGTTTCCAGGTCCCATAAAGGCCTCGCCAGCCAACCAGCGAATCTCTGGTGGCTCTCCGACTTTGGAAACGTTGGACCAGAGAGTTGACAGCGAGTTAGAAAAAATCGGCTGTGGGACCGGGAGGGAAGCTGAGAAACTAGGAGAAACTGATGGCCAACACAGAAATGTTGACGTTCCAGTTGAAGTTGCTAGGGTTTTAAAAAGTCCCTTTGACAACAGAGAAGGTTAACCCTTTGATCAGCAAAGCTAGACGCGGAAAAATGCAAAACATTCAGGTGATGTTTTTTCACATCGGCGGATATCGGCGGCATTTTGAGTTCTGCTAGACTGCTTTTTCCTGCCGAATTTCCAATTTTTATGGGACATCATGATCCCCCTGATATCCCATCATTCGAATGGGGTTCCCCATCGTGACTGTCAGCCAAGCTGGGATGCTGATCCCCCCTTGACCAAAGCTGAGGCCTTACAGCACAATGCTGAAGCTTTTTGTGGCTCGGCAAGATTTCTTGGATTTGGCCCACCATGGAGATGAAATCATCACCAAACAGCAGGGTTGAACGAAGTAATCCCTTCCCCCTAATACTAACCCCCCCTCCCCAATAATAAACACCTCAGGTAGTTTTTATTACCAGTAGTACCGCACAAGGCGGTGGCGGAAGTTTCAAAAATAGGAAACCTATAGGAGAGGTTGGTTGTTGTGAATCAGGGATTGCAGAGCGAAGCCACTGATGGAGCGAAAGGTGATTGATCTCTCTCACTATTTCTCTCTCTTTCTCTGACTATCTACCTACCTACCTACCTACCTACCTACCTATCTATCTATCTATCTATCTATCTATCTCTCTATCTCTCTCTTTCATCTAATTACTTATCTATCTATCTATCTTTCTACCTATCTATCTATCTATCTTTCTATCTATCTATCTATCTATCTATCTGTCATTCTATCTATCTATCTATCTATCTACCTATCTATCTATCTATCTATCTATCTACATATCTATCTATCTATCTACCTATCTATCTATCTATCTATCTCTCTCCCTCTCTCTCCTTCATCTGTCTAGCTGTCTACCTGTCTATCTGTGGTGCAGTGTCATTGAGTGCAATGTAGTGTAGTGTAGTGTAGTGTGGTGTAGTGGAGTGTAGTGGAATGTAGTGTAGTGTAGTGTAATGTAGTGTAGTGTAATTTAGTGTAGTGTAATTTAGTGTAGTGGAGTGTAGTGGAGCGTAGTGGAGTGTAGTTGTATAGTTGTAGTTGTAGTTGTAGTTGTAGTTGTAGTTGTAGTTGTAGTTGTAGTGTAGTGGAGTGTAGTGTAGTGTAATGTAGTGAAGTGTAGTGGAAGGTAGTGTAGTGTAGTGTAATGTAGTGTAGTGTAGTGGAGTGTAGTGCAGTGTAATGTAGTGAAGTGTAGTGTAATTTAGTGTGGTGGAGTGTAGTGTAGTGTAGTGGAGTGTAGTGTAATTTAGTGTAATTTAGTGTAATGAAGCGAAGCGAAGCGAAGCGACATCTGAGCCTCCAAAAGTGGTCCGAACCCCTGGTGTTTTGTACATTTTCACTTCGAAATGTGCTTTGCGCCACAACGGCGTGCACTTTTTCGACATCTAAACTTCCAAAAGTGGTCCGACAATGGTGTGTTTTGTACATTTTGACTTCGAAATGTACTTCGCGCCACAACGGCGTGCACTTTTTGGACATCTCGACTTCCAAAAGTGTCCGAACTCCTAGTGTTTTGTACATGTTGACTTCGAAATGTGCTTCGCGCCACAACGGCGTGCACTTTTTCGACATTGCAACTTCCAAAAGTGGTCCGAGGCTGTGGTGTTTTGTACATTTTGACTTGGAAATGTGCTTCGCGCCACAACGGCGTGCACTTTTTTGACATCTCAACTTCCAAAAGTGGTCCGAGACCGCCAGTTTTTAACACTTTTGACTTCGAAATGTGCTTCGCGCCACAACGGCGCGCAATTTTTCATCGCTCCTGTGGCCAGCTGGCTCCGCACCCGCCGCTTTAGCGAGCCTACTTTTCGACCCTCCGGAGGCACAAATCATTGGAAAACAGAGTGTTTCGCGACTTTCCTACCTTTTTGCGCATCTGTATCTTCTGTCTTCTTACTCTTTACTTCTGATCTTCTCTCTTCTAATCTTCCTCTTCTCTCTGCCTCTGCCCTGCTCTGCTTTTCATCTCTCCATATTGTCGGAAGTTTGACTTCTAAACTTCCTTCGATTAGGGGTTTATTTATTATTAGGGAACCCTATTAATAAATTTAAAACCTTAATAATGAAAACATATAAAAACTATTTTTGCCGATTTCAAAATCAATTAAATTTCCTTTTATAACGCAGTTAAAGTATTGCCAAAAATTGGATTTCGAAGCGGACCCTATTAATAAGTTTAAAACCTTAATAATGAAAACATATAAAAACTATTTTTGCTGATTTCAAAATCAATTAAATTTCATTATATAACGCAATTAAAAAATTGCCAAAAATTGGATTTCGATGCGGACCCTATTAATAAATTTAAAACCTTAATGATAAACACTATTTTTGCTGATTTCAAAATCAATTGAATTTCCTTATATAACGCAGTTAAAATATTGCCAAAAATTGGATTTCGAAGCGGACCCTATTAATAAATTTAAAACCTTAATAACAACTTTTTTTTGATTTCAAAATCAATCCCATTTCCTTATATAACTCAATTAAGATATTGCCAAATATTGGTTTTCGAAGCGGGCCCTAATAATAAATTAAAAGCCCTAATATAAAAAACTAAAAATTTTCGGACGGACCCTAATAATAAACACCCCGAGGTTGACTAGTTTTTATTTTTGGGGGGCGAAACCCACAAGTGGTAGCTGTATTTTTGAATTGTTTTCTAAAGGGGATCAATTAAAATCAGATTATCTGACATTTTCCAAAATTAGAGATGGACCCTATAGTTTTTGTTATTTCGGGGGGTTTAGTAATAGGAGGAAGGGATTTATCATGGGATCTAGGCCCGATATTTGGGGTATACGTAAAAAATCACTAAAAATTGCCATTTCAAGGGGAAAAACATGTGATGAACCATTGGGATTTTGGGATATCCCATTTCCGGACAAACCCATTTGATTGGGGGTTGATATTGTGCCAATGAGCATGCAGGGTGGACTGGCCACACGCTGCCCATTCCCTTGAACAGCCTTGGGTATCCATGCTGGTCATCTTGAGTATGTCCTCATTTCAATGATTCAAGCGATTTATATAAATGTTTGGTGGTGAAAGCATCCCAAATAAGCAATCTTTATTCTTCAACCGGCATCTCCACATTTTGCTGGTTACACCCAACAGTTGTTTGGTGGTTCACTCTTGAAGTGTTTTGTTTGTTTCTTAAACCCAGGATGTTTGGTGCTTCACCCGAACCATGCCCAACCAGCCATTTAAGTATTCAAAGATCCAATCTTGTTAGCTAGATCCTTGTCATTCCCCATGTTGAAAGTGGAGTTTGGAAGAGTTTGAGATGTTTTGATTACCATTTTCCCATATTTTCCCCATGAAGATCATGATAATTTTCCACCAAGTGCTTTTGTTCCACCTGTTCGGGACGGACTTGGAAGCCTGACCCCATCCCCAGGTGTACGTGGAAGACACCAACGGCCTGGGTGATGGCATGCTCTCCCCGGCCATCGACGTCTATGCGGCTGGGCGTATGTGCTAGGGTTATGGTTATAGCAAGGTCATATCACCTACCTACATTTAAAATTGCACACACACACACATATATATACACAATAATATGTCGTACATATACTCCCATATTGAATATAAATATTGATATTGGCATAAATCAACACAGGATATTAGTATATTTAATAAACACTTGATTATGTATACTGTCTATGTGTATATATATAAGATATATATATAAGATAGATATATATATAAAAGATATATATATACAAGATATATAAGATATATATATATATAATATAATATAATATAATACAATATAATACAATATAATATAGTATAATATAATATAATATAATATATTATAATATAATATATAATATAACATAATATAACATAATATAACATAACATATATATATGTATATATATATTATATTATATGATATATATATATATATATGATATGATATATATATATATATGATATATATATATATATGATATATATACGCATTATTATTATGATTGTTATTATTGTTTAGAAAACATGACCTGTGGGATTGGTTGAGGCTGCAGATACCTGTCCAGTCGACTCCCTTTTTGTCCCTCCAGGTTCCGGGTTCATCGACCTTCGACGTTGATCCAACTGTGAATGGCGTGTCGGCGCCTGTGAAAGGCTTGGTTTTTTCTGATATGGAAAATGACCCATAGAAATAGATGGTTTACCTATTAATAGCATGGGTGGATTTTCCATGGCTATGTAACAAATAACCAGATGGTATGAAGAACATCCATTTTTTTGCTGAGAAATGAAATGAAATGAATATTGGATGAAGTTTTTGATTGGACACTTCCAGCTTCAGTTCATCTCTAGAGTGGACCTGGTTCAATCTTGATGTCATTTGTAGAAGTTAACCGGAGGCTTCAATGTTCAAATCTTCCACTTTACATCATTTATTTGTGCACATATACTTTGTCATGAGAGATCATTTTTCAGTATATATCCAGTAAGTATATTATCATATATAGTCTTGGAGACATCTTGATACAACCTCCAAGGCCCACACAGACAGCGGTGGCAGTCGACTTCAGCGTGGCTCATGATGCCGGTGCCACCATAGGCGGGGACGCTTTGTTGGGGGATGCCTCCTCAAAATGGCAAGTTTCATGGGGAAAAGCATGACGTTTCTTGGCCGAGAAATGGAGAATCTTGTTAGTAGTGGGGGATATTCCCATTGATTCCAATTGAGTGTGATGTTTTCTTGGGTGTCAATGGGAAATTGCTGAGAAATTTGGAAAATGAAAGGAAACTCAAGAAAAGCCATGGCTTTACACTGTACACAATTTGCAGAGGGTTCAGGGTTGCCTGTGAGATTTTCCCATCAACTCAGAAGTTGTTTTGGGCCATCCAGCATGCGCCCAAACTCAGCAAAAAAAACATCAGAAGTTGATGGGGCAAACCAAGAATACAGATTGCCAAAGGATGGGGTCCATTTATAGATGATTTCCCCTATGAAAACCTCCAGGAGGCTCCATTTGTAGATCTATAGGTGATTCTCCAGCAGCTTTCATGACCGGAGTGCCCATATGTTTTGCCAACCTCAAAGAATTGGTGATTATTTTGCCGATCCTCCAGGAGAACCGCAAGCCGTGTATGGAAAATTTGGTGACCCACTGAGACCCAGGGACCCTACTTCCCAACTGTTTTGGGAATTTGTTCAGGAACATCTCTGCTTCCGCTTGGGATGTCTACCCCAAATCTTCCATGAAAAAATGCTCATCCGATGGTCACAATGGCGAGCAATGGTGACCATCCAGGTTTGGTTTGGGCATCCATCGGCATCCCAAGCGCTGCTTCCGCTTTGGATCTGGTTTCCGTGAAGGCTCAGCAGATTGTTTGGGAACACGCTGTGTGAACCAGATTTTTGGGGTCCCATTTTGGAATATTTTGGATGATAAGGACAGAATGACCCCACAACTAATGGGTATTTATAGGGGGCGAAAAAATGGGGCTTTTCCATGACTTCCCTACTTGAAGAGCCCAGCTTTTGGGAATTTGAGGGGCAGATGTTTCGGAGAGATTTGGGATACCGATATCCATCTGTATATACTGATGATACCCTCTGGTAATTTTTCACATAGCTATTGAAAATGACCCATTTATCGTTGTTTTACCCATTAATAATGGTGATTTTCCATGGCTATGTTAAATAACCAGAGGGTGTATATATATATGTACTGTATGCTCATAGTTCTTGGACGTGGAGCTCATCCAAGTTGCGCTGGCCCAAAACATCCACGGTCCACCAGGCGATACACTTTTTTTTTTTTTAAATCACCAGGATGGTGAAGGCGATTCCGCAAAAAATAGCGATGGTTTGGTGCTTGTATCCCATTCTATCCCCATTCTATCCCCATTGTTCCCCATTGGGGTTAAATGGTCACTCTCCGGGTTTTTGCTTCCTACAGTATCCATGTATTTTTCAACCCAAGATGGGAATCAGAGATGGGAAAATCCTGGGTTTTTCAATAGGAAGATGATGCACCACCGGGTGAAAAAATCTTGATTTTCCAGTGGCCATCCCGCCCCTGGTAATTTCCCAAACCTTGCAGGTTGCCACTGGCATGAACTGCGGTGTTTCGGGAGATGACAAGAGCTTAGATGATGTTGCAGTGACACAGCATGATAAATAGATTTGTCTGAAAAAGCTGGTTTACCCCTCAAATATCCTGAAATAGCAATTTTAAGAGGGGAACATGAAGTATTCCAAAGAGTTTGAAGAGCTATCTAAAGATCACGTTCATGCGAAATGGAAGCTTGTCATTGGTGTCTTCATCCATTTCCAGATGTTTCATTGTTCAATACGAATCAGAGATGTTGCTATCCTATCGATGCAGAAAACTAAGGCCATCTCAGTTGGTGCACAATCCATCAGCATTACAGGCCAGCCCTGGGGCCTCGCACCCGAGATTTCACATCAAAATAGCTGGCAGCTGGTAGATGCTGGCACTTGTGGTTGTGTCAATTCAGAAGATCATGGCTTCAACCGTCGACCCCAAATTTCGGAGGGTTCTTTGGGCCCTCAACCGACGCAGGTTGCACTTTGGAGCGTGGTTATGAGTGACCAGCGGGGCTGGTTAGGAGAAGGATCCGCTGGGACACTTTTTCGCTTCTGCTCTGGCAACAATCTACCACTCTCAGCTAGCTGGCTATCTGCTATCTCTAGTAATTATCTCAGTGAAATCTAATCCAAATTCTGCTGTTTCTGTAAATTTTCCTCAAGAGATCCAATTGGGCTGTGTTCAGGGAGTCAAAGCTGACTTCAGGTGGATTCTGGCATTTTGGGTCTCCCTTTCCATTGATCAACTTTCCCCATGGAAAAACCGGAAAAATCGACGAGAAAACCAGGTACAGCTTGGTGGTCTATGTGGAATCCTCTGGCAACACTGGAACTTTGTCGTCTCCTGTCTCTGTCATGGTACCGTCCTCCAATAGCTTCTACACGGCTGGGGAGCCCAGGCACGGGGAAAAGATGGGGAAAAGCCATCGGATTTTGGGACTTTTTTGGATTTTGGACATCATGTTTTGTCTTGAGATGCAGCTTCAACATCCTTCAACTCTGAAAGACATTGGAAGCTACAGTTTCTATGAATTTCTGTTGATTCTACGTAGACATACAAATTACCCTTAAATGTCAGACTAGCCGAGTGCCCCAAGATCATGAGCCAAGGACCCTGCGGCCACCAATCCAAGCACTGCAGGTGCCCAGTTTTCTGTCTGGTCATCATCTATTGCTGATGATTGGTTCAAGCACTTGTTTCATTTGTCGATTCTTCGTCCGGTTTTTTTGGAACTCAACAAAAACCAAGCGAGACGCTGGCGCCAATGGTTTTTCTGTTGGCATCTGATCGCCAGGTGTCGACATTACCTTTGCAACCCATCAAGCTGGAAATGCTTGGGGAGTTGTTGTCATAGTCTCAGTCAGAGGAGCTGGGTGGTTGGTGATTTGGAACCTCCCTGATTTCAAAACCAAAAAGAAAAGAAAAACAACTTGGCAAAAAAAACACACATCAGATTCGCATTTTCTTGAACATTTGAACATATTTGAACCACCTATCTAGCACCAGATCTTGTCCTACATGGCCGATATCGAACATTCCAAGAGGTCTATTTCGAACATTCCAAGAGGTCTATTTTTACACAGCTTGAAGAACCAAAAAGGCCCACTAGGCCCAGGCCCACTAGGCCCGCTAGGCCCGCTAGACACCATTTATTGGGATACCCTCTGTTGATTTCACCCATTTTTTTCGAAAATCTTCGAAAAGTCGAGGCGTCCGTGGCGGACGCCTCAACGGTCTCTGCCAGCACCATTAAAGCGGGCACAGGTTCGGCCTGGGAAGTGGGACATGCACTCTCAAATTGAGGATATTGAGATATTGAGGATATTGAGGATCAAGGACATTGCAAATCCGTTCTTTAGGTTTTAACATGTTTTAACCCAAGATCAATTATATAGTCGCCTTTCTTCTTGGGAAAATGATGATGATCATGCATTGGAATCAGAGGTAGCCGGTTTTCACACAAAGCCCTATTGTTTGGCACAGCGGTTTGAAGCCACAGAAATCTTCTCCCGATTCAGGTGCTTTTGGAGGCGTGTGCCTGGTAGCTAGCCAGGCACAGTTGGTGAAAGACCCAACTTTCGGGGGTCAAGAAAGTTGGTGTAGCTGGATTTTTCGGCTCTTTTTGTTGTAATAAGCCAGCGTTGAAAACTGATTTGCGGATGTTCATCTTGAAACCATTAAAGAAAACAGTGCATATCTACTATATACATAGCTTCTACATAGTTTCTACATAGCTTCTACATAGTTTCTACATAGCTTCTACATAGTTTCTACATAGCTTCTACATAGTTTCTACATAGTTTCTACATAACTTTTATTAATATATAATGTACAGTACTATATACACAATTATACACATACATATTTATCCATCATCCATGGTGATTTCCCCAATTTTTTCCATGTCGGTTTCACCAGACGACAGGCGGTGACGGCCACAACGTCCGAGACGATGAGCTTCACCGGATGCAGTTTGGTGTGAAGACTCAATGGAAACAAACCCTGGATGAGACCTGACTGGTGATCGGCTTAAAGGGTTTGGTTAAAGGTGCCCCATCTGAAAGATATATAAAAGTGGTGGGTCATGGTGGGTCAACCCCATGAAAAGCGTGAAAAATGGGTGAACTGACGATTAGATGATCGTGTACCAGTTGCTAAGGAGAGATCTCTTACTGGGTGAACTAGCTATGCATGGGTTGATTTGTTTTCGTTTTAGAATCAGGAACCCATAGAGATGGATGACATTCAACTATATTCTGGTTGGTGGTTTGGAACATGGCTTTTATCTTCCAAAAATATATGGGATAATCCTTCCTATTGACTTTCATATTTTTCAAGATGGTTAAAACCACCAACCAGTATTGAAGCCATCCACTTATCCACTCTGGATGATTCTGACGACATTGGACCACTTCGTAAATAGATGGCCGTCCCACAGAATAAAGAACCCAAATCGATCAAGAGATTTTAGGATGTTGTGATGCATACGTCCCACATGTTTCCACGAAATTGCCACTTTTTTTTGAACATGTTGATCCGTAACTTGGCGCTTGGCCTTGCTTAGGTCATGGAAACCACCTACAAAGCCTTCATCTATGTCGAGGCTGACTCTGTTGCATCAAAATCGGGGTCTCACATGTGGCTTCCACAAGAAATCGGAGTTGCAGTTGAGTTGGGCCGAAAGTTGGTGGATTGGTGGTTTCAGAATGTTTCAGATTCATGGATTTCTAAATGTCCAGCCCGTCACGGGTCAAGCACTTCCATGAATCAGTACATCCCATCATATCCCAGTGATACGTGATACGTCTAGACAAAAAAAACCAACGACCTCACTAAAGACACCACTGGAATGATGGGAATTGGATTCCAGTTTGGCAAATATCCTTATTTCAGCTTGGTGAATTACATTGAATTACTATAGTTTGATACGTTTCATGTCCTGCTTTCATTGGCAAAGTGCCCGATTCTCCGGAGAGGTTCGCAAAGCTTTCGTTTTTTTTTCTCGATTCATTGATCGTGTTCAAAGCCAATTCTATAATTTTGTGATATGTCACTGAACCTTCTTCTGACACCTCAATGGACGATTTTTACATCTTGAAAAACATGTTTCAATTCAAGGTGACCACCAAAATCAACTGCTAGTGGTCACAAAAAGGAGGGTTCTGTAGTGATTATTTGACTTAACCAACCAGTAATGCTCATGGGTTCATCAGTAAAGATTGATTCAAGAAGACTTATTTTCAATGACTTAATACTCATTAGTTAAGACTCACTACTGAATCAACGATCATTAGTCCCTAACATCAATAATCATGGATTAATGACTATTCAGTACCTTTCATCACTCATGGATTATTAATGATAAGGACGTTTTATTCATAATCAATCATTAGTCACTTCGATCATCCATAATCATGGTTTTCACTAGTCATGGTTATTTAATGGTTACTTGATGGGTACTATTAATGTTTAGTAGAATGTTTTTTTTGCTATGAAATGTTTACTACCTTTCATTTCACTACATTTCCACTACATGTTCCATGGTTTGACCATTGATATATATGATATATGACTACATTTCCAGTGCATTTCCACTACATTTCCACTACATTTCCAGTGCATTTCATGGATTTTCCCATGGTTTTTCCACTGACCCATCCTTTCCATCCCCAGGATGGTCTCGGCCTGGGCGATGGCATGATCTCCCAAGCGGTGGATGTGCTGCCCACGGCCACACCCGCCTCGCCCGTGCGGGGCCTTAGATTTTTTGTGGCCGCAAAAAAAAGGGAGTTTCAATGGAGTTTCAATACGTTATTTTTTTGTTGAAATGGGGGTTGAACATGATATTTTAATGTTCAACTTGATGGAGTTTTATTTATGTTTTTAAATGGAGTTTTATTTATGTTTTTAAATGGAGTTTTGATGTTTTTGTGATGTTTGTAATGAAACAAGCAACATAATTTCAATAGTGCGTTAAATGTCTTAAAATCATCTTTTCCAAATGATTCTTGAGCATCCACCTTTGGGAACAGTAAAGGTGTAGTCCAAAAAGCCGTGACAGGGGGATATGGTACTACAATTCTTCCAGCTGATACGCACCAAAGCATTGACAACTGGAGATGTTCCCACTTACTGGCAAAATTCATGCGAATCAACTGGATGAGCACTCTTCACTGCAACGATGAGAAGTAGCTGTAGGTATTTAAAAAGTGATGCGCAATACTAGGCCATGCCTATATATGGATGTAGTCATGGCCCAGTTACCCAGTTGTTGGTCTTCCTCAGAAAAAAAGATCCACTGCAACCAAAGTCAACCGCATCCCGAACTTGGACGAAGGGCTTAAAATCAGGCAAGCGCCTTTTAGAAAAGGTCAAATTTCTTGGGCAAAAACCATCAAAAACCCATGGAATGGATCGGTTTTGTTAGGAACATCTATGGGAAACCACCATTTTGAGGAAAATCGCCACGATTTTTCCTGTCGAGTTTCCCCAACAGGGCGCGTTGTTGTGCCTTTTTTTTCAGGCACCTAGCCCCCCTGCAGCGACTCCCACATCGTTTGGAAACTCAGGGGAGCTTTTGGGGTTCCCATGGGTGGCCAGTGTTCCTTGGAAAAAGGCAGATCGCTGCCTGAAAAATCCAGGTGATTTGGAGTGAACAGAGTTCAACGTTGGTGGCATCCAAGCCCATGAGGTGGATTGAAGTGTTGATCAGGCATCAGGTCTCGACAGTTGACTCGCTGTGTGTGTTTTTTTTTTGCCACGACATGGCGGCTGATTTTCAGTTCAGATAGCTGTAAACTTGCCAGAATGGGTGTCAGTTTCAGGGAGTTTACCTACAGAAAACAACCCATATTTTGGATGGTAACAAAAAATGGATTTCCGAAATTTCCCATGCGCTTCAGTGATCAAACATGGCAATGCAACATCCCACATTTATAGACGATTTTCCCACTTGAACCTCCATTTATAGGGGAAACCAATTGCCACCTTAATTTCCGGAGGGTAAGAAAATTCTTAAAACTGAGCCAGTAAGACATATGTTGATGGTTTGAGACTTCCAAACATTGGTGACTTCGAACGCCTCAGCCCAGGAATATCTTCACAGCAGGGCCACGCATTTCCAGTTGATTCCTCAGAGGACTTGGATTCAACCTTGGAAATGTCATTGGAAGATTGTTGGATAGCAACTGTTGGATGTACCCAGCCTGGTTATGACTAACAGTTCGCCATGGTATAGATGGCCCTAATCGAAATGGTTTACCTATCAATAGCATGGTGATTTTCCATGGCAAACTGTAACAAATAACCAGATGATATCACCTCTAGATTTTGGATGATTGAAGGGGTGCAACATGATCCAAAGCTCAGGGGATCACCATCGCAGTTTGTGAGCCATACGAATCGTTTGTTTTGGGACAAAAAGATCACCTCAAAGCAAAATAAAACCAGACTTGGGCCATAGCGCTTTTTTGTTCAGAAGCCTGCAAACATGTTTACTAGAAAAGTTGCATTAAAAAAAACAGGATGATAAGAACCCCCCGCATGTTTACTAGGAAATTGGAAGAAATGATTATTAAAAAACAGCCTAAAGGTGGCCTAAAACCAGGCACTGCGACGATGACGGACGTGTGGGTGGCCTTCTCAGCTCAAGCATCCGGAGCAGGCCACTGGTGCCACGGGTGGCTGGATGTCACGTAAATCAGTTGTTGAAATCGCTGAAAGTCATCAGTCATACTCTTGGGGGGAATTCCTGTGGAATAGATGGTTGATTAATGTTGATTATGATTTGAGCCTAGCAATACATATGTATTTGAGCTTGACATACTGCAAGGCCATTGATGAGTATTGAAGAGTCAGGATTTAAACTATCGTGGGCGGGATAGCACATGGAACCCCCCCAGGAAATGATCTGCCATGATCTGCCACAAAATTCTGTTGGATATGTAGCCGCTCTTGGACATTGGATTCCATGTTCTAGTTGAGGGGACTGCTGACTGAGTGACTGTGCTACCTTCCGGTAATTTAACATATTGAAGATGGCCCATTTGTATCCATTTATATTGTAGTTGATTTACCTACTAAAACAGTGATTTTTACCAGCAACGCTGAGGGTTTTCCGTGGCAGTTGGGAGGTGAATTATACCTTCTGACCAACTCAGCGCCGGCCTATGCGGACATTGCTACTTTGTCACTTGCTCAGAGGGCCTTGGAAGCATGTCGCCCGTTAAACAGAGCTGATAGGGTTCCCTGTATATCAAATGTATCTCAATTACATCATAATGGTCAACATGTCAGATGCCTATTGAAGTTCCTGCGATTTTGGGCAACTTGTACCATTCAAAAGCATCTAGAAACCATCTAAAAGGATCCCAAACTTTCTGAAAAACAATCTTGAAAGCATCTAAAACCCCTAAGAACCCTGCGAACCCATCTAAAAGCATCTAAACCCTCTAAACCATCCCTAAAACCCCTAAAACCATTTCAAATCTACAATCTACAAGTGCAACAAAAACATCTATATAAACCTATTTAAAAGCCATCAAGACCCTCCAATTCTGCAGAGGTCCACCACTTTATTTGGTTTTTTCAATTGCTGCCCCCAAAAGCCTGGACCCCACCCTTAGGCGAACGGCTCCTGCAGCCGAAGTCATGTGCAGCTCGAGCATCGTGGTGCGGCCGACCTGTTTGAGAATTTTGAGATCTTAACCCCTGGAGGGATTGGGAACTGGGCCGGAATTGACATTAACTCTATGAACTATATTCATCATGCATGTGAGATGCTGCGCCATGCCCCCTTGCCCCCAGGGAGCATTTCAAGGGAGCATTTCAAGGGAGCATTTCAAGGGAGCATTTCAAGGGAGCATTTCAGCACCGCTGTATCTGATTTTCAGTGAAATGCAGGTGCCAACACTTGCCACTTTTTAACTGGGAGAAACTTGAGCGAAACTTAAGTATCTGACACACACACACACTTTCTGCAACTTGTTGGGAGATTGGATGCAGTGCCAGTGAAGTGCAGTGAAGTGGTTGTTTTTATTCCACCAAAGCTTCCACCTGGGTTTGAGAATAGGGAGTACCCCTAAAGTCCATTGGTCAGTCATAATTTTTTCCATTCAGATGGCCGTTTGGGGATCTAGCCCTCCGGACAGACCTGCCAGGTAGCGATGGACGAACAAAGTCACCAGCTGACTGGATGCGCGCTCACTCACAGCACCGATTACAAGGCTGGCCCTTTGTCAAAAGTGTACCCCAAAATGGCTGGTTTGATATAGAAAATTAATAAACATGATGCTCAACCGTGGCACGGAGGGTTGAAGAGGCTTTCCCTCGAACATGCTGACATGCTGAGAAATCCAGCGGCTCTAGCAGCAGTTGATGCTATTCAGTACACCCTTCACCATGGCACAGATGTACGTCTACGTGGGAGATTCAAGCCCTACCGATGTAGATGGCACCCTGCAGGGGGTCTCAGGAACCAGCCGGGGGGAGTGCAGCATGTGACATACCTGCAATTTTCGATGCCGTTGCATATCAAACAGAGAGACATAATACTGTATCGTCGTGAGTGTTGGGATCGGATGTGCTGGTCTGAGAATATGGTATTCCAAAGCGACTCCAGTTGTTTATTATTTGGTGTGCAATCATTTTCAATGTTCAACTAGCAATCCTGGATTTGCTGAAGATTTTCTATTGAGAGGCCAGCGTCCTCACTGTCATCAGGTTCAATAAAATCCCGTTGATCCAAGAATTGGGGAACATTTCGGAATACCTCTTTTGTCTTGTGGCCTTTTATATGGAGGTTTCCTAAAATGGGGGTACCCCAAATCATCCATGTTAATTGGATTTTCCCTGATTAACCATCAATTTTGGGTACCCCCATTTTAGGAAACCCCCATATACAAATCCTTATCATCAATTCTTGGGTTCCAGCAATACACTGTCGTTGCTGATCACCTGCTGGCCATATCTGGTGCACCAGGTCGGCCCTCACCGTCACCGTTGCGCCGGGCACATCGAACTATTTCTTGGAGGCGCCGGGAAATCTGCAAAGTACATGGAGGTTTTGGATATGGTTTCCATAAATGGGGAATCCCCAAAATGGATCAAAATGGCTTGTTTTTTTGATGTTTTTTTGATGGAACATCCTATTTAAATCCATGATTTAGGGGTACCCCCACTTTAAGAAACCTCCATATGTTTTAAGGCGATAGTCCGATAGTAAAACCCCAGGGAATTTCCAGCAAACCATGGAGCTGACGACACCGCCGCATGCATTTCCCATGTCCATGTCTCTGGTCCCCCATCGTTTTCCTATCATTTATTCGTTTTAACTTATTTGTGAAATCCCTATTTTTTGACCCATTGTCACGTGGTTTTGACAAACAATCCGCAAAAATGGGATTCAATAAATACCATCCTGAATCATCTGAATTTGGTAATATGGTTGAACCCCTCAACATGTTTCTTGGATATCTTAGTTTTGTCCCCTTAACCTCCCCTTTCACCTCTATCATTGCACCAACCAGGTGCCTGCACTGGACGCCATGTCCCTCAGCACCACCTCCTTCGATGTCGCCTTTGCTGCGGCCAATGTGGGGCTGGCCTACGTCATTGCGCTGCCGCTCAACGAGGCGTCGTGCGGAGCTTGGAGGCTGGATCGTGAAATATTGGGCCCTGAGAAAAATGGACATGGAATGCAACAATACGATAGATGTTGGAACCTGTTGGAACATGCAGTCAAAATATGGCCAAGAAAGTCACAGAAAGTCAGTCAAACAGCTACTATACCATGATCATGAAGCAGAACAGATCTGGTTGTGGAATCTCCCACTTTGATTTTCTGATTCCTCCAAGGTCTGCAGATATGGTGACAGTGACCAGTGGCAGCAGCGCTATCTGCCAGGAAGCTCAGCCTGTGGGTGGCTACAGCCACGAAGTGATGCTTCATACAGTATCAACCAGCTAGTCACCTTTAGCGAAAATGGCTGAGAGTCATTTTTGGCAAAATTTCCACCAGTTTCCAACAGTTATTCCATACGCTTCCATCATTTTAGATCCTTTTCCAAAGTCCAAAGGCCCAAAGGCCCATCAAAGGTGCAGTAGTCGTCCATCATTTTCCAGGTTCTTTGGCCAGTGCCAGCATCAGTGGAACCTCTTCGCAGACCTACAGTGTGACTGGCTGCAGCTTCCAAGCCGGTGAGCCCTCTGCGGATGAATTTTGCCATGGGCTGGGATAGATCTGACGACTGGAAATCATGGCATGTTCCAATCGTAAAATCATGGTAGATATGGTAGCAGCTCTGGTAGCATATGACAAATAACATCAGCTGGTATCATAACATATCATAACAACTGGTAACTGGAAAAGCTAACATATCATCTTTCGCATCCTTCAGGTGAGTTGTTATTCCCCGATGATCAGCCATAGGTTCCACCTGATGGGTTGGTTCCCCCCAGTGGCCGATAAAAAGGCCACAGCGAAGCCTGAGGGTGGTTGGAAGGGACAGAGATTGCGGTATTTCTACCCGATTTAGGAAAACATCCCATTCAATCTC